GTCTTCCCATTTCTGAAAGTTAAGAGCTGAAAGGACCTAACACCACCTACACAGTAGTTCCCAAACTTGGCTCCCTTGTACAAAGCTTTACAGGTTCCACCTGCAGGAATTTGATTCAGTGATTTAAAGTGAATCAGGAACCTACGTTTAAAAAAAAAAAATCACTTACTTGGGAAATTACTACCCAATCCATCATCTATGCTTTTTTAGAAGAGAGTAGAAACAGAGATATTTGGAAACATTCCCAAAGACATAGTGAATTCAAGGCAGAGAAGACTTCCCTACCCCAATCATGAAATCAAGGTAGAAAAGTTCTTTCCACAGGTTTTCACACATTAAAGATGAAAAAAATAACTTAATTGGGCTGAGGTGGTGGCTCAGTGGTAGAGTGCTCACCTAGCATGCACGAGGCACTGGGTTCAATCCTCAGCACCACATAAATGTGAAATAAAGATATTGTGTCCACCTAAAACTTAAGAATAAATATTTTTTTAAAACACAACTTAATTTCATAAAGTTCTTCTTTTTAATTTTTTTAAATTTACTTTGAGCAGGGTAATATGAAACAGTGAGAAACAGGGTTTTCATTAATATCTGTTCTATAAAGACCTGAAAGTAGTTTTTTAAACTTTCTAAACTGATAGAACTTTAGATTAAACCCTTCAAATATAAAGCTTAACACATGGATTTATACCTGATATCCAAACATCCTCTTTAGGCCCATTTAAAAAAAAAAAAAGAAAAGAAAATTCTTAGCAATCTTGGTGTTTCCACAGTCCACGGGCTGGATTCACTTTGGTGAGTCTGGACTGGGAGCTCCATTATAATCTTAGATGGGTCACAAGTTATGGTTCTCACCAGTTCCCATCACAGCTTGCTCCATCTTTGTTCAGCAGATATTCAGCTTTTGTCAATCTAACAATAAAAGGATAAGGCTAAGCCAGAGCCTGACTGACAACAGGAGTCATAATAGGAGAATCAGGAATCCTGGACCAGTCCAATGAGCATTCCAGTTGAACACAGAGCTGAGCAGGAACTTGAGGGGAAAAGGCTTCAGAAGCTGCCATGGCTTGCAGACTTCAGTGATGAAGTAAACTCGCCTTCCGTCTGGAACACTGTCATTCTGGACACGATTACTTATGGTGACTAATAACAAGTGCTTTACCCTGTTATGTCATCAACGCTTATCAAGATAAGACCCAGACAAAAGTTTATATCAGTTGTCAGTTTCTATGAAAATCCCCTGTATTTAGACTTCTGTGATTCATTCCCAATAATTAACATGTCCTCAGAAAAGACGAATGCTGAAATCTAAATCAGACATGGAACTGCAGCAATACCAGATTATCACCACATTCCTTCATGCATTTACTCAGTCTCAAGTTACATCTCACAACCATCAACCAGTGGAATCAGCTTTTATAACCAGACAAAGAAAATTCCTCATTGCACACAAAATCAGTGAAAAGGGAAGGAATGCAGGAAGGACAGAAGAACTTGTGACAGTAATGACCAGAACATAGTCACACCCAGCAATGTACAACCTCCCTGGGAAGTTTGTCACAAGCACAAGACTATCAGCTGACTAGGCTTTGGTCTTTTTTTTTTTTTTCCTCCACCCATTTCATTCAACCTGTCCAACAGCTACTTTTTCTATTAAGTAGTATCAGAGTAGAATTTCACACTGTTTCTATGTGCAGAACGCAATGAAAAATATTCTTCCCACGCCTACAACCTGCATTGTACTTTATTTTAGCAGCCTTTTCCTAGACTCTTCACAATTCTTTGGTCTGGTGCTTTAACATACTGCTATCTAAATCTGGGACTAGTTCTGCATTTCCTAGTCAGTAATCCTAACTCCTATAAATAAAGACTAGTAGCAAATCATGATTGGCTTATGTCTGTGAAGCAGTTCACTAGTGAAAATACACCTTGGTTTCTGCACTCACTTTCCTCTTAAAGCAACCACCACAGACAATCTAAGAATTTTCCTTTTTAAACAGAATTAGTTGACCTAAAATGTATGTGAATCCATATCTAAACTCAATCCTCTGCTTTTTCCATCCAGGGGATTGTAGTGTTTTGGTGTTGGGGCCAGGGTCACCACTGAGTCACACCCCAAGCACCCATGATGGTAACTAAAGCAGCACAGAAAATTTCTTCTGAATTCAAATTTCAAGATATGAAACTGTAAGCTTAATTGACTCTGAAGTATTTTGTTTCAGTTCCTCTTCAGCATGTGAAGGGTACACTTTAAAACAAGAAGGTATGACAGGTTTTCTCTTACCACTGATTCACAGATATGCTTGGCAAATGTTCATATAAACAGTCCTAGGGCCTTATCTAATTTTCTGAACAAGGCCAAAATCAAAAGTTGTTAATAGCCTTGCTACAGTCCAGATTTTAAGACAGGAAACTGGAAGCAATTATTTGAACACTGCATCATATACTCAGCATCATACTTCAAAGTTACCATATCTGAATTGTTACCAAGGAGATTTGTATTGACAAAGGACTGACAATGCCTCATGAAACTGTAGTTCTTTGTTAAATCTGCAACTTCGTAAAACGAACTGAACCCCAATATCTGTCAATACAGAGGTGAAGAGGAGTGGAAGTGGACAACTTCTATCCATGAAACCACAATGAGATAATAAAAATGTTTCTTTTTGCATTGAATTATGTCTGTTTAGCACAGTGGCCACTGTTATGTATGCCATGTGACTCTAGTGTATTTGTGGAGACTTTTTTATTCATCTTTTGAATTACTGGGGAAAAAAATCATAAGGGCGGAAGGGGGAGTAGGGGGTGTACACATCTCCCTACTGGTCAGTATGCTCAACTAAGAAAACTACCTGATATTATTGATTTCAGATAGCCAAGAGCAAAAGGTGAGTTGAAAGTCTCCCTAACTGACTGCCACATAACTCAGGCAAACAGATAACTCATGAGCACTTTGGAGCCTGATCCCCACAGTAGGAGCTTCTGTCAATAATTCACTTCTATCCCTGAGGTTGGCCCAACTCATAATAAAGCTGGAAACCAGCACAATACTGCAAAGAACACATATATTCTTAAGACTGTAACAAAGGGAAGAGAAAATGAGTGACATCTACCAAGGTATCTGGTAACCAGAGATTAATTCCAATTAATTCCAAATTAATCTAAAAATCTATGTCATCATTGTAAAAAATTTTTTTGTAAACCTTAGCATTAGGAAAGTAAATCTAAAGGAGGTTAAGATAAAAGGGTGGCACACACCTGTAATCCCAGTGATTCGGGAGGCTGAGGCAGGAGGAGCACAAGAAGTTCAAAGCCAGCCTCAGCAACTTATCAAGGCCCTGAGCAAGACCTTGTCTCAAAATAAAAAATGAAAAGAGCTGGGGATATGGCTCAGTGGTTAAATCCTCAGTACAGGAAAAAAGGTGGAGGGGAATAAAGAAAGGGGAAATGAGTACAAAAACATTTCATTAAGTTTAAAGTGTTGCTTAAATAAAAATAGTTAAAATCCTACCCAAAACAGCCAAGTCACTGAAAGGTTAGCAGCTTATATAAAAATTCTATTTTATTTATTTTTTAATGGCGTACACCAAATAACTTACTAGGAGAGGTGGAATTCTATAGGATAACCAAAATACAGAATACAGAAGGTCCTAATAGTATATCTTAGAATATTTTAGAAAATAATTTTAAAGTAATATGAATCTACCATATAGTTTAACAACTGAGAGTGAGACCCAGAAAATCCAAGAGACCTCCCCATGGTTATAAGGCTCCTGGGCAGCAGAGCTGGGGATCTCAATCAGGATTCAGATAGACTGAGCCATTCCATCACTCTCCTATCACCCAGCTGTCCTTTCTTGAAAAGAAATAGATAAAAACATTATAAAAGTGAAATCCTTATCCGCATACTCAAATGTATTTTTCTAAAATACCACATCATTCATTACCTCCTCTTCTACAAACATCTCTCTTTGAGTGGACAACATATGACCCAACACTTTTGAAGTGACTTCCCCCTTCTAACTCTCTAATCTACTGGGTTCTCAGATTATAGTGAAGTATTTACCCTTTAATTAAGTTTCTCCTCAAAGATTTTTACATGACAGAAACTATATCCTGGTTATTTGTCATTCAAATCAATGAACATACTTATAAGATAAACAGCTTATAAAATGTGCTCATTTTGAGCCAATTCCTGTAAGAAAAAAGCATTTAAATGAATTTAGAAACTTTATACTTTTCGTGAGAAGCAGAGCTTAACCTTTGGTTCTCCTTACTATCGAGAGACACAAGATTTTGAAATGAAACACAATTCTCAAAGTTTTTCCTTTCTTTCTTCTTCTTCTTGTTTTTTTTAATATGCAATATTCTTTACAAATAGTGTTTCACTTAAGTTCCATTACTAGTGAAATTAATGAATTCTTCCAAAGTAGATGAAATAAACTAAAAGAATATACCAAGTATAAAGTTATTCTTTTTAGACAAGCTCCAGTATTAAAATTATCCCTCTCTCGTGAAAAGGATTTTCCAGAGGGAGACTGGGCTCTCCTTCAGCACCCTGCCTCCACCAGAAGGCACAGGCATTCACCTACCATGCAGCTAGGAAGAAGCACAATCCTGTGCCCTATCTACTAGGTATGGAGGTACTTCAGGACTACAACTTTTTCCCCCATAAATAAATGCAAATAGTATTGTTCAAGTTGCAACAAAAGGACAAGGATATAATCATTTCTTTTAAGTTGGCTCCAGCAAACATAATCAAAAGTTAAGAAAGCAGATGGGTAGTAGAAACATAAGAATCTCTAAAAAAAATGCCCAAGCCTAAAACTTTTTCCGTAAAGGAAAAGTCTTCTCTTTGTACACACATCAGTAAGCCCATTTCTCCCACTTTGAGGCATTACTGAAAAACAACTTTCAAGTCAATACAACTCTATCTACTTGGTAAAAGTGAATTAAAACTTTCTCTGAGACTTTAAAATAGAACTAAAATTTCAAACCTGTCATCTGGTTCCGTGTGATCAGTACCCCTTCCAACCCCAGCACATTTTCGAATCTTTGTGCATAAAAGCGTCTTGTAAATTCTCCCAGCACCAGAGACGACACCACTCACACATCTGGCCGAATCTTGCCAGTCTCCTGGCCGGTTTGTGGTTTTTGCTGTGCCGCCACACATCTTCTGAGTGGTTTAATGTTCTTCCGGTTTATCCCAACCATCAATGTGAACGTGGACTTGGACACAAATCTTGAAGTTCCTTTGTTATTTGAGGAATATTCCGCAGCGACCAGCAGTTCTAAGCTATCATTTCACTCCCTATACAGTATATGAGACAAGCTACTTGGCAACAGCCTACTAATTTCCTCTTTAAGAAGCTTTAAAAAAAAAAAAAAAAAAAGAGGAACATTCATTTGCTACATAAATTAAGCCCATGGATGATTTAGGAAGTTAAATGCATCCATCACATTATAAAACATGCTCTCAGCAAACCCATTATAAACATAGACGAGTACAAATCCCACTTCCTACTTTTGTTCCCAAGCTTGTACTCCAGTTAGCAAAAGAAAAAACACTCAACAGGTTGAGCAGCTTGGACTGACTCACTCCATCTGCACTCCCTAGCTGGAGATTATGTTGTAGTCAATTAATTGGTCACAAGACTATTCATATGGCTCTGGGCAGTTGCAGTGACTTGCCTTCAGCTGCAAGGTTGTTCTGACATTGGCCACACCACCCTCTTAATGGCTCTCATGTGAGCAAGTGTCAGCTGACAGGTCTTTCTCTGCAACCTTGCAAAACTCTACCCATAGCAAGTGAGAGACAGCAGCCAAAATGTAGGACTAAATGTATATTATGGTGATGTAGGGAGAAGGAATCGAGTACGGACATACTTTTGCTTTAATATAGGGAAAAAATTAGTAAGCAAAAAGAGTAACGATAATGACAAGCCATAAACCCTCAAAACTCTTGCACTAAATTCCAACACATCCAAGTTGAGAAAGCCCTAGGACAAAAGCCACTTCAATTTTGACTTCTGATACTAACATACATCATCTGAAAATTAAGACTAATGTTATAAAATCAATATCATTCTATGAGTTCATGGATAAAACATTTTTTGCCTATCTACCTATCATGCTGGTGACTGGACCCAAGGCCTTGCCATGCAAGGAAAGCACTCTGCCATTGAGTTACACCACAAAGCCCCAAATTTTCCTTTTAGAAGAAATAAAAATTATAGTACCCCAGAATACAGGTAAAATCTGATACAAACAAAAACCCAACAACAAGTGATTGCCCCAATTTCTTTTCCTCATCCTGGAATCTGGCTGAAGAAATATTAACAGACCCCTAAAATTTGGTGAACCCTTGGCTGGCTCTTTGGTTATAGGAAGCTTTAAATATACCTTCACATATGGTAGCCATGTATTTCACTCCACTCATATGAGGAAAAATTGATGTAGGACAGCCCTAACACATGACTGTATATTCAATCCCTGAAAGTCTCCCTAAAATGAACTCAAAAAAGATCTAAAATGCACTCTCCCTTATGAAATAAAGATTGCAGTACACCTATGGCAATAGCTTGGCTTCAACATGGCACATGCTAAATTGACAGTATCAAGTCAAAGTAAATTAGGAGGGGCTGGGGATGTGATTCAGTGGTAGAGGGCTCACCTAGCATGTGCAAGGCCCTGGGTTAGATCCTCAGCATCACATAAAAATAAATAAAACAAAGGTATTGTGTCCAACTACAACTAAAAAATAAATATTAAAAAAAATCAGATTAGGAGAGGATGAATTCATTTTTCAGGAAGGAGAACACGTTGAGCTTAAAGCTTAACTGCAGGGCCATAGTCTGGTCATGGGTTCTTTTTCCCCTTGAGCTGTCTTTAAGATAACTTTCTCTTTTTAACAAAGACTCAGAAGATTACTTATACTTACTTATACAGCACTATAAAAGTATTTTCAGGGGCTGGGGATGTGGCTCAAGTGGTAGCGTGCTTGCCTGGCATGCGTGCGGCCTGGGTTCGATCCTCAAACCACATACAAACAAAGATGTTGTGTCCGCCGAAAACTAAAATAAATATTAAAAATTCTCTCTCTCTCTCTCTCTCTCGTCTCTTTAAAAAACATTTTTTTAAAAATATTTTCAGTTTTAGGCACAAGGTGATTGGGAGAGCAGAGCCTCCTCTCAACATTCTGTGCCCACCTAACAAGGGGTTCACGTGTGGCTCCAAACCAACTTTTCCAACTACCTAGGGTCTGGCCTAAAAACCACAAGAGAAAAGAGAGATAGAGCCTTAAAAATGCCCCCAAACCCTATATTTTATAAAATAGATAATAGAGGTACTAGGGGAATACACCCCATTCTTTATGTATAAAAACTCAATTTTAGTTTTAAAACTTCAGTCTCTAACAGATATTTACCTAGGATCTGACGAAAAGTCATGAAATTCTATTTTGAAACATCTATTGTATATGAATTTTTTATCATATACAATATGATGTGTGTTTTCTACTTTGAATAATGATATAAACATGTACATTTTATTCCTCATCCAGGAGGTACAAACATTGTAAATAATAAGAGATCAAAATGACAACGTACTTATAAAAGACATTTAAATGAAAAAAGGATTTAGCTACATTCAGAAAGAATTCTCTTAAACAGAAACTAAACTACATGGCACAAAAAACACTAGGTCCCTTTAACCAGTCCCCTTCATTTAGGCACCCATCCTCATGTACCTTATAATGTGCCAGTTGCTGTTCCTCCCTAAATTCAGTCAGCACATCTTTCAGCCACCATTTCCTTGGTAAAGTGATGTTCAAACTTAAGCTTGTAAACACAAACTGCTGACCAACACCTGGGGCTCCTGATCCCAAAGTTCTGAAGTGGAATCTGAGAACTCACATTTCTAACAAGTTCCAGGATACAGGTGCTGCTGGCTGGGAACTGTCCAATTGGATAATTACTTCCTTAAGCAAAACTTCCATCTTCCCCACGAAGAATTTTTCATTCCCTAGGCCTCTGTTCCTTGTATTTCCCTATAATACTTTTTAAGCATACTTGTTTTATGACAGTATATGTATCTTATGTCCTAACTAGATTGTAAACACTTTGAATATAAAAACTGGGTCTTGGGCTAGGGTTGTGGCTCAGAGACAGAGCGTTCACCTAGCATGCGTGAGGCACTGGGTTCGATCCTCAGCACCACATAAAAATAAAATAAAGATATTGTGTTCACCTATAACTAAAAAATAAATATTAAAAAAACCCCTAGGTCTTGACATTCATCTTTGTATGAATGTGCCAAGTTTTATGCATGGTAGATTCCCAATAGATAATTCCTGATGAAACTAAGTATGTGCATTAAACCTGATACAAATCTACCTGCAACAAGCAGTGCTTCTGTGACAGTCCTGTGCACACACTCTGAGCAGGAGGCACTTGCACACTCATTCTGCAATCTAACCTTATTTTCTATACCAAAAGTTCCCAGAGGCTCACATCTTATGGTCACTACAATCAATGTAACTCACGTGGTATTTTAACGCAAAGGACACTTGGACTGTTAAAAAGTGAAAATGTCATTTCCTCTGTTATCCCAGTCCATAACCCTTAATTCCACAATATAGAATCAGATAAAAAATAATAAAGTACAGATGCACATCAAAACCACTATTGTAGTTAAAATGGATGCTTCTATTTGGACTCTAATTTCTTTACATTTACTTGAGAGTTCTAAAATTTCTTCAGTAATTGAAAAACAAGCAATAACTGTATCATTATTATTTTTCTGAGATCAATTATTTTTCTGAGAATCCAGAGCATCTCATTGGGTAGAGAGAAGGTATGTTTAGACCTTTAGAGCCCTAAAGTCTGTTCTTTCCCTCAACCAATCTCCCTATTTTCTCAGTCCTCTCTTTCCTGAAATAGAACAATACACTCACGCTGCTATCCATTATCATGCTGTGGATCCTACTTTTGAGTCTTAAATCATAAGCATACTATAATTTCACATCAATCTTATTTGTAGCTTTACACATGGCTGAGTTCTCAACTTCCCTTACATAATTGATCCATGCATTACAGAAAATAATTTGCTTTATCCAAAGTTTACAAACTTAGAAAAGTGTTTGCAACCACTGACGAGACTCCCACACTCCTCCAGCAGTTCAACATGTTGACTGGAATGTTGCTCTTCCTCTGATACTTCCACAATACAGATGAACTTCACCAGTCTGGGAGGGAGGAGCACAGAAGTATAGTGAACTGAACCCACGTGATATACATAAGGCAAGAAGACTACTGGTTCAGACTTTCATTTTTTGGAACTGGGTATTGAACACAGGGCCTTGCACATGCACTCTACCACTGAGTTATACTGCTAGCCAACACCTCAATGTTTTTGTTTTTGTTGGTACATTATGATTATCCCTAATAGCAAGAGTCATTCATTGTGAAATATGTAGAAACACCTAACATAAACTGCTCAATTTCATTCTCTAGAACCTTCCCTCCTCCTTCCCCTTGATCCCTTTCTTCTACTCTGTTGGTCTCCCCTCCATTTTTTTTTAAGTTGGTGCATTTATAATTATACATTAAAGTGAAATTCATTGTGATATATTTTTATATGCACATAGCACAATTTGGTTAATTTAATTCCCCAGAACCTCCTTTACCCATCCCCTCCTCTGTCTCCCTCGATCCCCTTCCTCTACTCTATTGGTCTCCCCTCGATTTTAACAAGACCCTTTTTTTTTTTTAAGAGAGAGAGAGAGGGAGAGAGAGACAGAAAAGAAGAGAAGAGAAGAGAGGGAGAATTTTTTTTTTATATTTATTTTTCAGTTTTCGGTGGACACAACATCTTTATTTTATTTGTATGTGGTGCTGAGGATCAAACCCAGTGCCCAGTGCATGCCAGGCGAGCGTGTTACCACTTGAGCCACATCCCCAGCCCAAGAGATCCTTTTTTAAAAAAATTTTTTTTAATTGTAGATGGACACAATACCTTTATTTTATTTATTTATTTTATGTGGTGCTGAGGATCAAACCCAGTGTCTCACACATGCTAGGCAAGCGCTCTATCACTAAGCCACAACAACAGTCCAGTGAGATACCTTTTTTATTACTTTTTTCTCTCTAGCTTCCACATATGAGAGGAAACATTGAATCTTTGACTTTCTGAGCCTGCTTAGGAAGATGTTCTCCAACAGGGCACAGTGGTACACACCTGTAATCCCAGGGGCTTGGAAGGCTAAGGCAGAAGGTCGCAAGTTCAAAGCCAGCCTCAGCAAAAGAGAAGTGCTAAGCAACTCAGTGACACCCTGTCTCTAAATAAATACAAAATAGGGCTAGGGATGTGGCTCAATGATTGAGTGTCTCTGAGTTCAACCCCGGTACCCCCTGCCTCCAAAAAAGATGTTCTCCAGTTCCATCCACTTATCAGCAAATAACATAATTTCATTCTTCTTTATGGCTAAGTAAAATTTCACTGTATAAATATATTTTATACATTTTCCCACCTAGACAGGTTCTTGGCTATTATAAAATGTGCTACTATAAACATATGTATGTATCACTCTAATATGCTGATTTTAGTTCTTTTAGATAAATACCAAGAAATGGAATACTTCAGTCATGTGGTGATTCCATTGCTAGTATTTTGAGGAATCCCCATAGCGGCTGTACTAATTTGCAGTCCTACCAACAATATGTAAATGTTCTTTTTTCCCCTCACATCCTTGCCAGCTTTTTTATTATTTGTATTCTTGATGACTGCCATTCTAACTGGAGTGAGATAAAAATCTCAGTGTGGTTTCAATTTGCATTTCCCTGATTGCTTGCTAAGGATGTTAAACATTTTTTCAAGTATTTGTTGGCCATTTGTACTTCTTTCTACATATGAGTGTGCGTGTTTGTGTGTGTGTGTGTGTG